CCTTCAGACTTACTTTCATCCACTCAGGCTGGTACAAATTGTTAATATTCTAAATATCACCCCTGTTGCGACCGGCGCAACAAACACCAAGATCAGGGTCCTGAGGGTAGGGGAATGTAAGAAAAAAAAAAGAGAAGAGAAGCCATTTTGGGAACAGGGGGGTCCCCTGGGCTGATGGCCCAAGTGACAGCTTTATTGTTGCTGTACACAATCTTTTATATCAAGACTCTTATGGATCAGGTCATTCTAAGAATAAACAGGTTTCACATGATCGCTGCCAGCCAAAACATTTAGTTCTGTGTACCTTGTGAACTTTCTAAATGGGTCACAACAAGACCTTGTTGATAGATTGCTAGCAAAACACAGTTCCCATGTTTGTTTCCATTTGACCCGGGGTAGAAAAAGGGGGGTAACATTACTGCAAACACCCACAGACCACAGGCTTCAGGAATTAGATTTCTCAGCCTTGACAAGGCTTTCGTATGCCTTTGTAAGTAGGGGAATGGGAGGGGGAACCACCGGGTTGGCTGAGTCAACAGGGAGCCATTGCTCAACCTGGTCTCAGCCTAGCACCGGGTCCAGCCTCTCACACACCCCTGAGGGGAATAGAGACCTAAGTAGCCCTTTCAGTTCTGTCTGTGGACTGGGAGTCATTGAAGGGGCCAAACATCCCTCCATCCCTGCAACTGGTAGAATGAGACCAGGTAGAAGTGACCTCCTTCAGCTCCTCTCCCCATCCCCTAATTAATCCTTTCATCTAGATCATATGTATGATTCAGTGTTGGCATGATTATCGAGCAATGAAAGATGAGGTGGATTCACAAGGTATGGCCAGCTGGTTTCAGAGTGCCATGGTGTTAAGGACCTCTTCCATTCTTAACAATGTTCTCTGCACGGGTGGGAGATGTAGCAGTGCATGCTAGGATAGCTGGATGTGTTTCATGCTCATGGCCTCCTACATGACCCGGTTCTGGTTATCTTACTTTCTGGACCAGCAGAAGGTATAGATTCTCTCGTGTGGCCTGGCTGCCAGGGTGTTTGCAGGGCTAAGAGTATATACAGCAGGATTGTGTAGTAGCCATAATCGTTCTGTTGAGCATGTTGGAATATAAGAAGTTGGATGCAAACTTGCATGAGGCAAGATGAGAAAACCAGAGGACTTATTAGGAAGATGTTCTCAAATATACAGTTGATACTTCATACACAAGAGTGTACAATGTGGTCATTGATCAGTGGAAAGTGGGCAGAGAATGGGTAAATACATAGTCAAAAGGCCTCAACTCTTTTTTTCCCAAATCGGGAGATAGACTGCAGACAGTAGTCAGAAATCAACTGGCTGGGGAGGTAAGTCATAGAGGCAGAACATCTCCATGATGAACAGGTGGGCCATAACTGATGGGGACAGGGGACTCATATGAAGAGTGTCAATGCTACCTGCTGTCACCATATGAGGGACATAGGTCAGTGATGAGGTCTGGGATAACCCATCTGAGGTTGGTTTGGGTTCTGGAAGAAGTGTTATAATCCCTAAGGGCTTTCAGACTTAGCCATGGCCAAGATGCACATTTCATGAGTGGAAGAACATGGGTGTGGGGTGCCTGGGTGGCGCAGTTGGTTAAGCACCCAACTCTGGATCTCAGCTCAGGTCATGATCTCATAGTTTGTGAGTTCAAACCCTGCATTGAGCTCTGAGCTGATGGCACAGAGCTTGCTTAGGATTCTGTCTCCCTCTCTCTCTGCCCCTCCCCTGCTTGTGCACATTCTCTCTCTCTCTTTCTTTCTCTCTCTCTCTCTCAAAATAAATAAATAAAATAAATATATGGGTGTAATTCCTGACATGAGGAGTAGTGGGTGCTAAAGGCTGACATCAAGATCTTCAAAAGAGGCAAGGGTGGAATGGTGGTATGGATGGAGCAATGGGGCTGCTGCTGTCTTTACAGCCCATGGAGGAACAACACAGTGTTGTGTTTCTCAAGTATGTCCACAACTTTTTGCTACTCCTCCCTTCAAGAGGTAGAACTTAATTCCCCTCCCCTGGAGTGTGGGCTGGATTTAGTGACTGTAGTTTTCCTGCCCTACAGGGCCAGTGATGATGGGAAGAGATATCCAGCTGAGGGAGCAGCATGCAAAGGCCCTAAGGTGGCCATGAGTTTGGTATGTCTGCACACTGAAAGATGGCCGACATGGTAGGAAACTGCCAGAGAAAAACAAATCTAGACTTCGTAAGGAGAGACTCTTATTCAAAAGAACTCAGAAGGGGGCTATTGCAACCGGGAGAATGTGACCATAAGGCCCACAAATGTCTCAAAGTCAAACAGAAAACAGGCAAGTATCTTCTTGTGGTCAGCCGATTCCCAGGAGAAGCTGAAAAGGGGACATGTTCCACATTTTTGTGCTTGCTCTACTTTGGGGGCAAGCAGAGTTCAGGGAAGGTGTATAGGGAAGAGAGAAGCCTGACTAAAATTTGGCTAACAAGCATTTTGTTCCAGTTGATCACTAGGACAAGCAGTACAGCTAATGGGGTACAGAATGGACATTTAGACAGGCTGTGTCTGGTTTTGTTGTAGATGAAAAAGGAGGGCACCTGCAAATCTTATCTAAACCATATGGGGAAGTGTGGTTCTTTGCAGTAAGCTGTTTTCTTGAACACAAAAGAGTAAGGGGATTTCTTAATCATCACTGTTTACTAGGATCACAGGTCTCAAGCAAAATTCAACATGGCCACAAAAGAAAATAACCATGGCTTCACAGAAGCTATTACAAATCCAGGCGCTGTTCATGAATGACACCTTTACAGATTACCTTTCTTGGGCAGGAGAACAGAAGAGTTAGAAAAACACAATTTGGTTATAGAAATGCCTTGCATTTTCATACCAATAGCTACTTTTTTTTCATATTTGTTAAAGATATGTTTAAAGGAAGATTAAAATGGTACAAATTTAACTTGTACTTTGAAATTACACTTGATCAGTCTCTGCTTAACTCAGTACTGGTTTTCTTTTCTTGCTTTCTGAAAAACCTCGGGCTTACTACATTGGTGTCACTTGCCCACAGCTTCCAGTAGCTGCCTATTTCTGCCTGTTTCAGCTGCAGAGTCCTGTCCTCTTACTATCCATTTGCAGGTTATTGCAGATGCAGGCAATTATGTTGCATTTCCTGTTCTCAAAGAAATGGTGGACAGAAAAACTTCCCAAGGAGGCAAAATAGGTAAAGTTAATCAAATAGAGGTTGAAGGCTTTAATTAGCTGATGGGCATCTGGGAGCAACTCAAAAGTAGGTAACTCCCTAAGCCAAAGAAATATTGGAGTTTTTATAGACAAGGAGAAGAAGCTGTACATGTGTGTTCCTGGCTACAGTTTTCTCTGTAACTGCTATAAAACTTGTGGATGGAATAGTAGCATGTATTTGGCTTTTCATGTTCTTTCTCAGGATCTTTGGTGCAATCTCATTTTGGCAACTGTCAGAACAGTTATTTTGGAGAGCTTTCTTTGTAAGTCTTGTAGCTTATCTGTTAATGTTTTTAGGTTCAGGGGAGGAGAGGATGGAAAAGAAAAAATGAGAGAAAAAAAGAGAGAGAGAAAAAAGAAAGCAGGCAAAGATCTGAAGCAAGAAAAACTGAGTCTGTTCTTGTTCTTCTACAAAACAGAGATATTCTCGAGAGGCATGTTGGGCCATTTGGCCTCTGTCACTGCTGAATGCCAGCCACCTGCAGTGCCCAGCTCCAGGCTCTACTCTGTTCCAATGTGGGGACATACAAGTGGGGGGTTGGGGGTGGGGGGCCACGTGGGGAACCATCCCCTAGTGGCATTATATTGGTGGCATGGACACCCACACCATTAGGGCTCCATGGTATAAATGTAAAATAGGGTTCAGAAATAGGGGAATGGGGCACAAACACACAGGGGAATGGAGCTTACACAAATGTCCTGTGGAGCTTACACAAATATTCCTATCATTCCCCACAGAGCAGGGCTTAAGCAGAGAAATACCATGATTTCACCTGTCATGGGAAAGGTTCCCAGAGAGGTACCCTGCCACCACAATGTGCTATGTATGAATAGAGACCAGGGAGATGACTATGTGAATGGGAGCATCCTAGGAGAGTATGGCTTTTGTTAGAAACAGAGCCTTACATCCCAAGGCTAGTGTCAGCCTGTTCTTTGCTAAGTTGATTCAGACCTGCTGAACCATTTCTCTATGAGGGGAGGAAATAAGCTCCCTGAGCCAAGTGGATTTCTCTCTCCATATGGATTTGTGGAAGAATTACCACTGACATGTCAAAAGGAATGAGGGGTTGATAAAGGGCTGGCAATTCAGGTCCAGGTCTCACTGAAGAGAAAATGGATATAAGGGTAATGAAGGGGATGGGGGGTAGCATAAAAGAGTTTCTTTATGGTAATGGAAGTTTTATATACTGATCATGGTGGTATTTACATGAATTGATACATTTAATAACGTTTCATACTATACACTGTGGGACCCAGAAAAGAGGAATAACTGAAATACAACAAAAGCATTTGTTTGATTTCTCAGAATTGAAATTCAGGGAGCACTGATTTGGGTAGCAACCCAAACTGTGTCCCACTGAGGAGTAAAAGCCAGGCTCATGTATCAGCAAATTGCAGAGGTATCAGGAAACTTACACAAGTTGTTTTCCAAAGACTGTGATTGGAAGGTACAATTACATTTGACCATCCATTGGTTTTCTGAGTACAGTGTGACAGTGACTAGGAAAAAATTTTTTTGCAGAGTGTCCAATTTTTATCCAGAATGTGAGTGTAGCAGTCCTCTGTTTAGTCATATGGTTTTGTCCAGTTCAATATCCTGTTTCAAAAACAGAAAGAAGTTTTAGCCCAAATATAGTCTCTCACACTCAGAGGTTTTACACAGGCTCACAACACCTGATATTAGTTTCTTGTGGCTGGTATAACAATGTATAACAATGGCTTAAAACAGAAATTTATTCTTGGGGCACCTGGGTGGCTCAGTCGGCAAAGCACCGACTTCAGCTCAGGTCATGAACTCACAGCTGGTGGGTTTGAGCCCCACGTTGGGCTCTGTGCTGACAGCTCAGAGCCTGGAGCCTGCTTCAGATTCTGTGTCTCCCTTTCTCTCTGCCCCCGCCTCCTCTGCTCACACTCTGCTCACACTCCATCTCTCTCAAAAATAAATAAACATTAGAGAGAAAGAAAGAAAGAAAGAAAGAAAGAAAGAAAGAAAGAAAGAAAGAAAGAAAGAAAGAAAGAGAGAGAGAGGGAGGGAGGGAGGGAGGGAGGGAGGAAGGAAGAAAATTTATTCTCTTACATGTAACTTCCAGACACTAGAAGTCCAAAATCAGTTTCACTGGACCGAAATTGAGGTGTTAGCAAGGGCTGTACTCTCTTAGAGGCTCTGAGGCAGACTGTTCCTTGCTTCTCCCAGTTTCTGGTAACAGTCATTATTGGTTTGGTGGTTTGTACCACTGGCTTTGTGGCTGCACCACTCCAATGTGCCTCTGTGTTGACATTACCTTCTCCTCTTCAATCTGTGTCAATCTTCTGTTGTCTTTCTCTTAAAATGATATATGTGATTCTGTATGGGGCCCATGTGAATAAACCAGGATAATCTCCCTATCTCAAAAATCCTCAATGTAATGGCATCTGCAAAATACTTGTTGCCACATAAGGTAATATTCACAGGTTCCAGAGATTAGAATGTAGATATCTTTAGGGGAGCCATTATTCAGGTTACACCCAAAACCCTCCCATAAAAAGATCGCATGTAGGGGCGCCTGGGTGGCGCAGTCGGTTAAGCGTCCAACTTCAGCCAGGTCACGATCTCGCACTCCGTGAGTTCGAGCCCCGCGTCGGGCTCTGGGCTGATGGCTCAGAGCCTGGAGCCTGTTTCTGATTCTGTGTCTCCCCCTCTCTCTGCCCCTCCCCCGTTCATGCTCTGTCTCTCTCTGTCCCAAAAATGAATAAACGTTGAAAAAAAAAATTAAAAAAAAAAAAAAAAAAAAAAAAAAAAAAAAAAGATCGCATGTAAAATCTGGTGAAATCCAAATGAGATTTTTGCTTAGTTGATGGTGTATCAGTGTCAATTTTCAGGTTTTGACAATGAATTCCAACTATACAGGGTGTTATCACTGGGGGAAGCTGGCTGAAAGGTCTATGAGAACTCTCCATACTATTCGTATAACTTCTTATGAATGTTAAATTCTTTCAAAATGGGAAGCTATTCTTAAGTGGTATCTGTTGACATAGGAGAATGAAAATTACTGTAATTGTCCTCCAATCTATTTACTTTTATAAATAAACTTCTGAAGGTACTAGACTACTAAGATTGGTCAGTGAAATGTTGAAATCTGATGAAAACAGAGAACTGAGGATTGGAAACATTGTGGGTGAAAGATAAACAGAAATAGTTCTTTTAACCATATCAATTTTATTCTATAAGGATTTCTTTCACATGCCCATTATAAATAGTCAGAGATAAACAGACACCCTGCTCTGAAAGTGTTTGTTTGCAAAATGACTATTTGTGTACAAAGTTACAAGAATGTCAAAAATGGCAAACTGACAGCACAGATGCTGCCCCCTGCCCATCCTATGAATGAGGCTGATCGTGGCAATTCATCACATGTTCTTTGTTCTCACTTGGTACAGGGCTTCAGCTGCTCCTGCATCTCTTGTAACATACTCTTTGCCATATTTTCCTCAAATATTTTTGATATTTAACTTGGTTAGGTAAAAACATTTTTGCTGGCTGATTTCACTTTTGATGGATTTGGCACATGGTAAAGTAAGATATTGGCTTTCCATATATACTCCCACAGGCCTCTGAAAAATAGGAGTCCAAACTCTCTCCTGAAGCCTCCCACACACTTTTTCTTGCTTGCTGGACAATTTACTTGGATGTCCCTCAGCACCATAAAGTCAACGTCTAAATTTCATCTTCTTTTCCTATAAAACTAATCCTCTTTCCTCATGCCACAGTTCCAACGTTGGCATCCTCACAACTACCTCTCACAACTGTGATTCCCCCCCTCCTTCCCACAGATTATTCCTTGAGAATGCCTCTTATATCCTCCCTTTACTTCACGCCACTCCAGTCCAGGCAGTAATTGTCTCATATCTACTCCACTGCACTAGCTTCCTACTAAGCTTCCCTGTTTTTGATTTTCTTACCAACTTTTACTATATCAAGGAGCAGAAAGGAGGAATGTAGGAGAAAGCATGGGGTATAACAGACGCTAATGTGGTGGCACAAAGTCCAAAGGAATCAGCTGATCTTAATGTATGTAAGTACATTAGAAGATATTCTAAGTTGGCTTACTCATCTTTTCCAACCCCTTTTCTCCTTGACTTCTTTTATTTTAAAGCTGTAGCTATACAATATGGTAGCCACTAGGCATACCTAGCCACTAGGTAATTTAAATAAAATAAAATTCAATTCATTTCTTCAGTCATACTAGCTAGCTACATTTCAAGTGTTCAGTTACCACATATGGCTGGTGGCTATCATATTATTAGAACAAATATAGGGGCACCTGGGTGGCGCAGTCGGTTAAGCGTCCGACTTCAGCCAGGTCACGATCTCGCGGTCCGTGAGTTCGAGCCCCGCGTCAGGCTCTGGGCTGATGGCTCAGAGCCTGGAGCCTGTTTCCGATTCTGTGTCTCCCTCTCTCTCTGCCCCTCCCCCGTTCATGCTCTGTCTCTCTCTGTCCCAAAAATAAATGAAACGTTGAAAAAAAAAATTAAAAAAAAAAAAAGAACAAATATAGACTCTTCCATCATCAAAGAACCTTTTATTGGATAGAGCTACTGCTCTAGAGGCAAGAAACTGAGAGCAATCAGTCTCCTCACTTCTCTTAGAATTAAGGGTGACCGTATGCATAGTTCTAAGATATAAGAGAAAGTTCTGGTGAAGTTGTCTCTTATAACATAGCTTTTTGAAAGCCTTCTGGGCCCACAATATATGCTCAACTAATCTTAAACAAAGCAGGACAAATATCCAATGGAAAAAAGATAGTCTCTTCAACAAATGGTGTTGGGAAAACTGGATGGTGACATGCAGATGAATCAAACTGGACCATTTTCTTACACCATACACAAAAATAAATTCAAAACGGATGAAAGCCCTAAATGTGAGACAGGAAAACATCAAAATCCTAGAGGAGAAAACAGGCAACAACTTCTTTGACCTTAGCTGGAGCAACTTCTTACTAGGCATGTCACCAAAGGCAAGGGAAACAAAAGCAAACATGAACTATTGGGACTTCACAAGATAAAAATCTTCTGTGCTGTGAAGTAAACAATCAACAAAACTAAGAGACAGCCTACAGAATGGGAGAAGATTTTTGCAAATGACATATCTGATAAAGGGTTAGTACCCAAAATCTACAAAGAACTTATTCAACACTCAAAAAACAAACAACCCTCATAAGAAATGGGCAGAAGACCCTCAACAAATACAAAAAGATCAAGATCATACCATGCATATTTCCAGACCATAATGCTATGAAACTGGAAATCAACCACAAGAAAAAATTTGGAAAGATAACAAATACTTGGAGACTAAAGAACATCCTACTAAAAAATGAATGGGCTAACCAAGAAGTTAAAGAGAAAATTAAAAAGTACATGGAAGCCAATGAAAATAATAACACCACAGCCCAAAACCTCTGGGATGCAGCAGAGGTGGTCATAAAAGGGAAATATATAGCATTCCAGGCCTTCCTAAAGAAGGAAGAAAGGTCTCAGATACACAACCTAACCTTACACCTAAAGACTCGAAAAGAGCAATAAATAAAACCCCAAACCAGCAGAAGATAAGAAATAATAAAGATTAGAGCAGAAATCAATGCTATTGAAACCAAAAAAACACAGTGGAACAGATCAATGAAACCAGAAGCTGGTTCTTTGAAAGAATTAACAAAATTGATAAACCACTAGCCACTTTGATAAAAAAAAAAAAAAAAAAGGAAAGGACACAAATAAATAAAATCAAGAATGAAAGAGGAGATATCACAACACAGCAGAAATAAAAACATAACTAGAGAATATTATGAGCAATTATATGCCAGTAAAATGGGCAATCTGGAAGAAATGGATGAATTCCTAGAAACATATAAACTACCAAAACTGAAACAGGAAGAAATAGAAAATTTGAACAGACCCATAACCAGTGAAGAAATCTAATTAGTAATCAAAAATCTCCCAAAAAACAAGAGTCCAGGGCCAGATGGCTTTCAGGGGAATTCTACCAAACACTTAAGGAAGTGGTAACACTTATTCTCTTGAAGCTGTTCCAAAAAATAGAAACAAAAGGAAAACTTCCAAATTTTTTCTATGAAGCCAGCATTACCTTGATTCTAAAACCAAAGACTCCACTTAAAAGGAGAATTATAGACCAATTTCCCTGATGAACATGGATACAAGAATCCTCAACAAGATTAATATCTTAAAAAATATCATTAAAAAAATTATTCACCACGACCAAGGGGGATTTTTACCTGGGATGCAGGGCTGGTTCAATATCCACAAAACAATCAATGTGATTCATCACATCAATAAAAGAAAGGACAAGAACCACATGATCCTCTCAATAGATGCAGAGAAAGCATTTGACAAAATACAGCATCCTTTCTTGATAAAAACCCTAAAGAAAGTAGGGATAGAAGGAGCATACCTCGAGATAATAAAAGCCATATATGAAAGACCCAACACTAATATCATCCTCAATGGGGAAAAACTGAGCTTTTGCCCTAAGGTCAGGAACACAACGGGGATGTCCACTCTCACCACTGTTATTCAACAGTATTGGAAGCCTTAGCCTCAGCAATCAAACAACACAAAGAAATAAAAGGCATCCAAATCGCCAGGAGGAGGTCAAACTTTCACCCTTCACAGATGACATGACAACTGTATATGGAAAACCCAAAAGATTCCACCAAAAACCTGCTAGAGCTGATCCATGAACTCAGCAAAGTCGCAGGATATAAAATCAATGCACAGAAATCGGTTGCAAT